TAGATAGATATCTTATGGTCTGAGTGGTGCTGGACTTTAGTCCGTGTCAATCAGCATGGCTATTTGCACAGGATTATGTGAGTTGCAAAATTTACATGATTTTTTTTTCTTTTTCCTTTCCTTGCAGAATGGTACAGAACAGTCACGTCGGCGGTTGGCTGTGTATTGTCTTAAAGATGCCTACCTGCCCCTTCGTCTCTTGGAGAAGCTCATGTGTGTCATCAACTACATGGAGATGGCAAGAGTCACTGGTGTCCCTCTCAGCTATCTCTTGGCACGGGGGCAACAAATTAAAGTTGTTTCCCAGCTCCTACGGCAGGTGAGGGGCACCTGGGTTTTTTGTAATCGGATCAGAATACAGATGACGATGCAGTGATTAGAAGGAGCCAGATGGCTTTGATCAGAACAAATCCTGCTAAGTCAATCTTTTATCAGATCACTAGTTTAGTAGATGATGGGAATGCTGTGGATATCATTTATCTGGATTTCAGTAAAACATTTGATAAGATGTCTTGTCGAAGGCTTTCATGGCCGGAATCACTGGGTTGTTGTAAGTTTTTTCAGGATAAATGGCCATGTTCTAGTGGCATTCTCTCCTGACGTTTTGCCTGCATCTATGGCAACCATCCTCAGAGGTAGTGAGGTCTGTTGGAACTAGGAAAATGGGTTTATATATCTGTGGAATGACCTGGGTGGGACAAAGAACTCTTGTCTGTTGGAGCTAGGTGTGAATGATTCAACTGACCACCTTGATTAGCATTTGATGGCCTGGCAGTTGTTTGGTGTGGTTTGTTAGTGCCTGGGGCAATCTTTTGTTGAGAGGTGATTAGATGTCCCTGATTGTTTCCTCTCTGTTGTTTTGCTGTTGTAATTTTAGAGTTTTTTAATACTGGTAGCCAGATTTTGTTCATTTTCATGGTTTCCTCCTCCATGGCATGGGCAAAATTTGGCCCTCCAGGTGCATTGGACTTCAACTCCCACCATTCCTAACAGCCTCAGGCCCCTTCCTTTCCCCCCTCAACTGCTTGAAGTCCAAAATACCTAGAGGGCCCAAGTTTGCCCATGCCTGGTATATATAGATTTTTGAGGCTTGAGCGGCTGAGGGGGAAAAGGAAAGGGCCTGAGGCTGTTAGGAATAGTGAGAGTTGAAGTTCAAAACTTCTGGAGGGTCGAAGTTTGCCCATGTCTGTGCTCGGGATACTCTAGCTGTTGAACCTGCATGGAGCAGGGGTTTTGGACCTGATGCCCTAGTAGACCTGACTCACTAAAAAAAAACCCAGTAATGTTTGGTAAGGTAGAAGGCAGTAGGAAAAGAGGAAGGCTGCATTCCAGGTGGATACATTCAATCAAGGAAGCCATGAATCTGAGGCTGCGAGATCTGCGGAGCTCTGTTGATAATATGGTGACTTCGAGGTCTCTTGTTCATAAGCCAAAGATGACTGGATGACAGCTAAATATCCAATAATTTCATAGCTGAATAAGCCTATTCCAAGTCAAAGTTTAATAGCCAGTTCTCTTTTTGCTGCTATTCATGTTTACATTGTCCCTCCTTCAGCCTTCCTCCAAATCGTTCATGGTGGTATAGTTTAATCTGATGAGTAATTGTGCTGATTTGAACCTGGGTCTTTCCAATCCTTGCCTCTGCATTACACTGGTTTTCTTTCACTTTAGATAAATCAGCCTGTTCCTTTTATTCTCTCTCTCTTTTTTACAGCCATTGCATTCTTCTTGTTTCCTGTTGTTATAGTTTGCCCTGCAGGTCTTCAGATTTTCCTTTAGATTTCTAGCTTGTCAGTTTGCTTTTTCTCTTTTAAGGAGAAGTGCTAGAATGTCACTGCAGTGTCTTGCTAACTTCAGTCACTTAATTGAAACAACACGAAAATAATAAATCAATTCTTCCTTGCCCATGGCAACTCAATGTCTGGCCAATTATAAGGTTGTTAATAAAGTCAGACAGCTCTGGTGTTGGGCTGACTGGCCTTGCCAGAAACACTTTCACAACATGCCTCAACTATCCAGTATTTGCCAGTGGCAAGATGGAACATTGTCTCATGTTAGTCAGCAAAGTGCCTTGTATGTCAAAAAATATTCTGTAAATCGGATGAGAACAACACGGTTCTTCAGATATTGTTGGATTGATGCTTCCAGGATTCTTCTCTATTGCTTATGCTAGCTAAGGTTGATGCAGGTTGTAGGTCTTCTCCACTAAAGGTTAAAAGTAAAGGTTTCCCTTTGACATTAAGTCTAGTTTTGTCCGACTCTGGGGAGGTGGTGCTCATCTCCCTTTCTAAGCCAAGGAGCCGGCATTCTCCCTAGATGCCACCAAGGTCATGTGGCCGGTATGACTGCATGGAGCACCATTGCCTTCCCACTGGAGTGGTACCTATTGATCTACTCATATTTGCTTGTTTTCAAACTGCTAGGTTGGCAGAAGCTGGGGCTAACAGTGGGAGCTCACTACTGACCTTTAGGTCAGAAAGTTCAGCAGCTCAGTGGTTTAATCTGCTGCATCACTGGAGTCTCCCTTCTCCACTACTGATATAAAACAACAAATAATAATAATCATAATAAAAGATACTAGGCATGGAGGTAACACATCAGTTGCTGGAACAGCCCGATTTGAGGATGAAGTTAAGGACGATAGAAATGCCCCCCAAAACCCTCTTATTTCTACCCAAAGGCTGTGAAGCAAAACCTGGTGATGCCAGTGGTCAAGTCAGAAGGTGGGGAGGACTATACTGGTGCGACTGTCATTGAACCACTCAAGGGGTAAGAATGGCAGGAACTGAACTTGGGAAATTAAACTTCTTGGGGAAGTGAGGATGGACGTTAACTTGGGGATTGATTAAACTAAATCAAGTCATGGGCCTTCGAGCCATTGGTTTTCATCCTGGAAGATGGACACCAGGAGGGAATCCAGTGAAAGCTCTTGGGCCCAACTGATAAGAAAGGGAGGAGACAGAGGACTGTAACAGGCCTCGCTTTTCTTTTTAGCTATTACGATGTGCCCATCGCTACCTTGGATTTCTCCTCCCTGTACCCTTCCATCATGATGGCTCACAACCTTTGTTATACAACACTTTTGCAACAGGGAGCAGTGGAACGCCACGGGTGAGTGAAGGAGGACCTGAACAGGTGCTTTTGGAGCTGGTCTGCATGGAGTTTTAAAAGGGAGGATGGCACAGGTATGGTAGAAGCCAAGCACCACACATTGCCCCATTCCTCAAGGTACAACAAGGAGATGCTTTTCTGACTCTATTTTTACTTGGGACCTGTGCAAGAAAGAAAACTCAGGTTACTGGGATACATTCTGACCTCAGTCTCTGATTCCCCCTCCCTTCATGCAAAAAAGGTAGATTTCCCATACTAAGATTTTGAAAAAAATGGGTTGTGGGAAGCCAGCTAGGTGCAGGAATGAGGGCTATACCCAAATGAGGTGTGTTCCTAGAGAACAGTTGGGGAGATCAGAAAGCGGAGATGGTGATGTGTTTAAAAAGTGGTCAGACTCCAGTTTCGTTTGCTTTTTTGTCCCATAGGCTTTCAGCAGACAAGTTCATTCGTACTCCAACTGGGGACCATTTTGTGAAGGCATCTGTTCGCAAAGGGTTGCTGCCCGAGATTCTGGAGAACTTACTGGCTGCCCGCAAAAGGTGAAAGGGACAGAATTGGAATGATTAAAAGGAAGGGTGGAAACCCGGTTAACATGCAGAAAGTATCATTTTCAAGTCATCGGGATTTAGAAGAACTGCCAACTGAGATTTGGATAGCTGCTGCCGGTCCGAACAGATACTGGTTGGGCAGGAGAGATGGGCATCCAAATCCTCTGAAGCCATCATATAGAGAAGCCTGTGTGCTTTGCAGGATAAGTTTTTCTTTTTTGCTGGCTGGATATAAGATTTAGAGAAGAAATATCTTGGGTTTAAGAAAAGAGATGCATAACAAACATGGATTCAGAGAGTGGGCATTAAAAAAAACTGGGTATAGAAACTTAAAACACATGCTTTTGGAATAGCTGACAGAAGGGAGGAGGATGGATGGGAGGATTCTGGAAGTGCTCATCCAAAAAAGCAACTTTTTCCAGCTTTGTGTAAAAAAGCATCATATCTAGTAATTCCTTGACCACAAGGTTTAGAAGCCAGGAACCCCTGGCTACTAAAAGCTGGAGTTCATTTAAGGCTGTAGATCTGGAATTTCAAAGTTAGCCAAGTGCTTCTTGCCAAATGGAACTGGTAAGAGAGGCCACTATGGAATTGTGGGTGGCGGTTCTATCTCCTTGTGTCCCTCTTTGGCTTAGGGCTAAGGCAGAGCTGAAGCAAGAGACAGATCCATTCAAGCGCCAGGTGCTGGATGGACGACAGCTGGCTCTCAAGGTCAGCGCCAACTCAGTTTATGGCTTCACCGGGGCGCAAGTGGGAAAACTGCCATGTCTGGAGATCTCTCAGGTAATACTGGTTTGTCTTAAAGTTAGGGGATTTCTCAGGTTATGGTTTTCTTTAATACATTAATGTCAACTGAATTCAGGAAGCTACTGTTAAAGAACCCTTCTGTATTGCCAGATGAACCAGTTACGCAGCGGCAGCAGGTGATACAAATAACTGATTTGATATCGTAGAAGATAATTTCAATGAATTCCTATAAGTGCCCTTTGGCCTTGTCTTGCTGTCTGCCCACACCTTGCTTAATTAGTTAGCAGTGAAGTCCTGTAGTAAGGGTAAAGATTTCCCCTGACATTAGGTATAGTCGTGTCCGACTCTGGGGGGTGGTGCTCCTCTCTATTTGTAAGTCGAAGAGCCGGTGTTGTCTGTAGACACATAGGTCATGTGTCGGGCATGACTGCATGGAGTTCCCTCCAAGGCGGTACCTATTGATCTACTCACATTTGCATGCTTTTGAACTGCTAGGTTGGCAGAAGCTAACAGGGGAAGCTCACCCCGCTCCCCGGATTCAAACCGCCAACCTTTAGGTCAGCAAGTTCAGCAGCTCAGCAGTTTAACCCACTATGCCACCAGGGGGCGCAGTGGGTTAAACCCCTATGCCGGTAGGAATGAAGACTAACAGGTTGCAGGTTCGAATCCGGGAAGAGGCGGATGAGCTCCCTCTATCAGCTCCAGCTCCTCATGTGGGGACATGAGAGAAGCCTCCCACCAGGATGATAAAACATCAAATCCGGGCGTCCCCTGGGCAATGTCCTTGCAGACGACCAATTCTCTCACACAAGAAGCGACTTGCAGTTTCTCAGGTCGCTCCTGACATGACAAAACAAAAAACAAAAAAACAGGGGGCCCATACAGATCTTTAAAAAGTGTCATTGTTTTCAGTGAGCTGCCTCCTGTATAAATTTGTATAAAATTGGAGCCTAAAATCATTAAACAAACTAGGTCTTTGCAGTTGGTTGGTAATAACTTCAAGACAGACAGAGGAAGTATTGCTGACACTTCATATATTTTAACTTCATGGACTTCATTACCAGAAGATGCAGTAACCGCTTTGTTCTTGAAAGTCTAGATACTATAATGGGGAAAATATCTGAAACAAACTGTACACAGGATCAGATTAATTAGACTGAGCTGTGTTTTGCAGCCTGAGGAACTTGCATCAAATCTTACACCTAAATGGATTTGCGGAGACCTGGTGAAGCGTCAAAATTGACCTTATAATTTATCCAAATTCATATTGTGCTGGGGAAATGTTCAAGTTAAGTTTAATGTACACTCAGTGGTAGTATCCTTGAGCCTGTTCATTTGTCCCCCTGTCAAAAAAATAATCCTAGATTTACATACAGTAATTCTTCTTTCTGCAGAGTGTGACAGGATTTGGGCGTCAGATGATAGAGAAGACAAAGCAGCTAGTGGAATCTAAGTATACCATTTCCAATGGCTACAGTGCTGATGCTAAGGTACAAAGAATGGGTTCAGTGTGTGCAAAAAAAATTACTTTTTGGGCCTCAGTTTCTAAACCAGTGAGTGTGCTTACTTTATGACTGAGACATCAGTGCAGTGTAGTTTTCTAAGCTTTTAGTGGATACTTTATATCAGGGTTTCCCAAACGAAGGCCTGTGGGCCGGATGTGGCCCTCCAAAGAGATTACCTGGCATCTCGCCCTAAACTTTAGACTTGAAGGCATACAACAACAATCGTAATTAACTTGACTATCTCATCATCCAAAAGCAGGCCCACACTTCCTATTGAAAATCTGGTAAGTTTATGCTGGTTAAAATCATTCTTTCTAAATACTATATTGTTTCTACAAATAAGATGATTGCAGTGGGTTTTTTTTTTCAAACTATAGTCCACCTGCTGCCCCCCCCCCCCCCCCCCCCCCCCACAACAGTCTGAAGGACTGTGAGCCGGCCCTCTGCTTAAAAAGTTTGATATCTCCAGCATTATATAATACTAGTCTTATAAATAAGAGGAAAAAATGGATTTTTTTTTTTTTGGTGGAGTTGACATGTGGAGAAGAAAATTGAGGAGAACTAAGCTTCTTCCTAATGTTCAGATGGAATCTCCTTTAATGTAATTTGAACCAATTGCTCCAATGATACATCACCCAAATTATAATTTCTGGTGACTTAGTGTTGTAACATGGGTCCTTGCTCTTTCGTCAATCTGTCCAACCACTAGGTATATTTTCCTTACCTCCTGATCAGGGCAGCAGAAAACAAATCTACTCCCTCTTCCTTCCTCCTAACAAAAGATCCCTCCAGGCAGCAACCAACCAGGCTTTGAAGCTACAAGGCCTTTAAATGATAATCAAGGTGGTCAATTGCAACATTCACACCTGCTTCAAACAGACAGGAGTTCTTTCTCCCATCCTGGATATTCCAAAGATATATAAACTTCACTTGCCTAGTTTACAACAGACCTCACAACCTCTGAGGATGCCTGACATAGACAAAAACCGGTAGGATGAAACACAGCAGCCCTATATGGCTCATATGGAGGTAGCTGGCAATGCTGTGGCTGAAAGTCTGTGAAACAAGGTGGGTAATAATTTCCAAAAGTTCAGCTACATGTTCTTCCACTGTAGGTAGTCTATGGGGACACAGACTCAGTCATGTGCCGTCTGGGTGTGCCATCAGTCGCAGAGGCCATGGAGATTGGCAGGGAAGCGGCAGCCTGGGTCTCCAGCCATTTTATTCCCCCCATCAAACTAGAATTTGAGAAGGTGAGTGGAATGGTGGGCTTCTCTTGTCTAGTGTGGACTGCCTTTAAAACAGGTCTGAAGAACAGATAATTGGTAATGCGCTACAACAACACTACCATCTCAGGGCCCGGCTGAGGTTTTAGGCTACAGCTCCCATAATGTTGCCTGTTTTGACTGGGGCATTGCGTGAGTTGAATGGCAATATTTCGAGGCCAACAGGAAATGTCATGTAAGAGTCAGAAAATAAAGACAGCATGTGGTAGTTATAAGAAAGGAGGAAGAACACGTAGAAAGTTGGAGCACTTCTTGTAAGTCCGTAGAGGTTTCTTAAAATTTACAGGAATCTGCCCTGTGACTCTTTGAGAACCAAAGTGCCATGATTTTCATTGCATAAGTGCCGTTAATGTGCACATTTTTTTTAGTCTAGACAAAAATTGTTTACCTTGAAATGCAGTTCCAGTAGCTTCTTAGAACTTTAGCAATTTGTCAGTGAGATGTTGAAAGAAAAACATCCATGTATTGTTTGTTTCATGCTAAAATCAAGCCCTCCCCCAAAAAACGTTGGGGAAAAAACTCTTTCTTTAGTCCAGGCATGGGCAAACTTTGGTCCTCCAGGTGTTTTGGACTCCAACTCGACACAATTCCTAACAGCCAGTAGGCTGTTAGGAATTGTGGGAGTTGAAGTCCAAAACACCTGGAGGGCTGAAGTTTGCTCATGCCTGCTCTAGTCAATGATACGTCATCCAAATTATAATTTTTTAAATAGGATTTCTGGTGACTTACTGTTGTAACATGGTTCCTTGCTCTTTCCTCAATCTGTCCACCCACCAGGTATATTTTCCTTACCTCCTGATCAATAAGAAGCGCTATGCTGGCCTGTACTTCTCCTCTAACCCTGATACTCATGACAAAATGGACTGTAAGGGTATCGAGACTGTGCGCCGAGACAACTGTCCCCTTGTGGCAAATCTCATCAACACCTGCCTGCAGAAGCTGCTCATTGATCGGTCAGTGGATATCAATGGATGTTTGAAGGAAGGCTCATTCAAAGCTAGGCCAAACTTTTAGCCTGACATGCATCTCTGAGTTGTTGGGGTGTATTGTGGGTAGAGGGGCAGTGAGTTCACCATACCTGAGTTAAAGTGGAACTTACTGTACATACTCTAGTATAAGCTGGGTTTTCAGCCCTTTTTTTAGATTGAAAAAGTCCCCCTCAGCTTATACTCGGGTCAAAGTTATTTATTATTTTACTCTGCTATTATTATTATTATTATTATTATTATTATTATTATTATTACATTTACAGTATTTTTCTCTATTATTTTTATTGTTATTACATTTATTATTTTAGTCTGTTATTACATTATTTTTCTCTATTATTGTTATTATTACATTTATTATTTTACTCTCAATTATTATTGGAAGGTTATGTAAGTACATTTATATTGAAGAAGGTTGGAATAATGGTTTAATCAGAGTTGGACAGTCTTATCTTAAATTACAATTTTATGCAAATATTTTATTTATTTATTTATTTATTTATTTATTTCATGCATTTTTACACCACCCTTCTCTCCCCGGAAGGGGACTCAAAAACATTTAACCCACTGATGGCTCAATTAATGTAATTTTATTGGCATCTATTTTTTATTTTGTAATTTACCATTAGCTGCTGCATTTCCCAGCCTCAGCTTATACTTGAGTCACCCTTGGCTTATACTTGAGTCAAAATGTTTTCCCAGTTTTTTGTGGTAAAATTAAGTGCCTCAACTTATATGTAGGTTGGCTTATACTCGAGTGTATATGGTGTTTTCATTTCATAGATGCTAGAATAAAACTGACTTAAATGACAACTTTTATGTTATCTAAAAGTCCACCACTCTGCTGTCATGCACAGTTTTTCAGTAACGTACTAGAGATCAGAATGTTGAGTTCACTTTAACGTAGCTCATTTTCTTTTGAAAGAACACCCTCATAGTTTGTTCTACATCTTCTTGAAGGGACCCTACAGGTGCTGTGGCCCATGCTAAGGAGGTGATATCTGACCTGCTCTGCAACAGAGTTGATATCTCACAGTTGGTGATCACCAAGGAACTGACACGCACAGCAGATGAGTATGCAGGCCGTCAAGCCCATGTCGAACTGGCCGAGCGGTGAGTTGAAAGGGGAAACAGGTGCCTCCTCCCCACTCTTTTTCTTTTCAGGACAAAAGTGGCTCCTGGCCTCAACACATTCCACATTTGTTTAGGGAGCTTATTGACTAAATAAACATTTTGGACTCCAACTCCCACAATTTTTAACAGCCTACCAGCATTTTTCACAAGTATGAAATCTGTGACTTCCAGTTGTAGTACTTCAGTTCTTACTGGTCCAAAATATTATGGTGGAGAGAGGACCATCAGCATTTCAATTCAATATCTGTAGGGCCACAGTGATGTCATCTCTAGAATATGTGGCACTATCTTACACTGAGTGAGACCCTTGTTGTCTTTTCTGCTTTGCAGAACCTTTACGATATTTCCCAGTGCTACCTAAACTCCTTATGACTGGGAATGCCAAGATCAAACTGTACATGTGTGTTCATCCCGTAAGCAATGGTTCCACTCTTGCTTTTTGATAGCATGGGATCTGTTGTCAGAGACTTTGTTTCGCCTCACCTCTCCCTCTGCATAGTCTCCCCTGCCCTAAGTGTGTCTTTCGGACATGTCTGTCCTCAGGGTGATGGAAGAAGGTGTGTGGGTGGGTGAGGTGGTGGAGCATCAATGAGGCATGACCAAAGGGAAAGGCAGAAATAGCCGTGGCAGGCACAGCTGCAAGTGGAACCTCTGTTGACGCCCACCCCTCTGCTGCGGGCTTCCTGTCTGGCTGCATCTTTTTCATCTGCTATATAGACACACACTAATATAACAGATCTGTTTCTTTCGCTTGGCTGGTTTGCTACTTCTTGACAAACAAACTTTTGGACAACAAAAGTGTCTCTTCCTGCAGGGCCATACAGGTGAGGCTGAAGCAAGCACCAATTGCCTTTGAGTTTCATTCCCTTAATGTCTCACCCCACCGCTAGCCCCACTTATTTTTCAGCAGTCTCATCAGGGAAAATATGTTAATAATGTTGCTATAATCACACACTGGGTCATATGTTGAGTTTTCCATCTCCCACGTTTTAACCTCTTTAACTCTTGTGCGCCAGTTGCGCCCGTGCCTTGAGAAGCCAGACATGGCAACTCTGGTCCATGCTCTTGTTTCATCGAGAATAGATTACTGCAATGTGCTCTACATGGGGTTGCCTTTGAAGACTGATCAGAATCTTCAAGTGGTCCAATGGGCGACAGCCAGATTTCTCACCGGAGTGGTATACAGGGAGCACACAACCCCCTGTTACGTCAGCTCCACTGGCTGCCAGTCTGCTACCAAGCACAATTCAAAGTGCTGTCTTTAGCCTATAAAGCCCTAAATGGTTCTGGCCCAATTTACTTGTCAGAACGCATCTCCTTCTATGAACCATCACGGAGGTTAAGATCAGGGGCGGCTCGTCCATTACGCAAAGTAAGCGGTCGCAGAACACTTTTTTTTTGCCAGGGGTGCAGAGGTGCCTCTGTAAATGCCCCTCGACCGCCACTTGAGGAGCGCCCCCTCAGCTCACAACAGCCCTAGCAGTCCGGGGGGAGCCTCGGCTTTCTTGCCTCGCTGCCGGGCGATCCTCTTCCCAAAGGGGCCGGGCCCTTGAGCCTCGCCCAGCCCCTCTCGTTCCTGCTCCACCCGGCCACCGGGTGCACGAGCAGGGCCGGCGCTCAATCATTCTCTGCGTTTGATCCCTTCCACATGACTGGCTCCCTTTCCCGATCCCCCGGCGCTCCACCCGCCTCCTCTCCTCTCCCCAATTCGCGGGTGGGCCAAGGGGTGCAGCAGCCGCGCCTGGCCAGCTTCAGGTCCGGAGGCGTGTCTGAAGACCCCAGCGTGCGCACCAAAAGTCGCCTCTTCTCCTGACTTTCTCTTCAGCCATTGGGACCAAGAGAGAGAGAGAGCCCCTCTGGCTGGAGGTATCTCCCACCTCCGCTCCCTCCTTTGTTTTTGCGCCTACCTTCAGGAAAGGTGGGCATCTCCACTCTCTCTCTCTCTCTCTCTTGGTCCCAATGGCTGAGGAGAAAGTCAGGAGAAGAGGTGACTTTTGGTGCACACGCCGGGGTCTTCAGGCACGCCTCTGGACCCAAAGCGGGCCAGGCAAGGGAGCAAGTGTCGCAAGTGTAGTTACTGGGATGCATAGTTCACCTACAGTCAAAGAACATTCTGAACTCCACCAGTGATGGAATTGAACCAAATATGGCACACAGAACTCCCACAATGAACAGAAAATATATATCAATGATTGGTTGGGGGGGGCGCCAAAATACTGTTTGCTTACCGTTGAAAATTACCTAGGGCCGCCTCTGGTTAAGATCTTCTGGGGAGGCCCTCCTTCGCAAGCGTGACTGGTGGGGACAAGAGACAGGGCCTTTTCAGTGGTGGCTCCTTGGCTCTGGAACTCCCCAGTGAGATTAGACCAGTGCCCTCCCTCCTGACCTTTAGAAAGAGAAAAAAAAAACATGGTTGTGAGATCAAGCCTTTAGCTAATAAAATAATGCAGTACAAAGAATAATTAAAGAACATGTGCAATTACAGTTGGATCGCCTATGGTATATGATTTTAGGATTATGTGATTGTAATATTTATACTAGAATGATGTTAATGCTTTGTCTGAATTTTTAAATTTTCTTTATGTCTTATGTGTAATGGCTTTAAAGATTGTAAATCATAGTTATATGTAGTGATTAGTGATTATGATTTTTTTTGTTTGACTGTATGTTGGCATTTATTTATTATTTATTTATTTCGGGTATTTCTACCCCGCCCTTCACAACCCCCGAAGGGGGACTCAGGGCGGCTTACAAAAGGCACAATTCAATGCCAGCAATACACATAGTAAGATAAAATACATAGCAGCAACAATTATAAAACAATTTAAAACAATCCATTTATACAGTACAACTAATAAAAACCAATCAAGTGATCAACGTTCGCCAAGCTCAAAATCCGTAAGTACATTCCGCATTGAAGATTTACCATTTGGTACTGTGAATGCAAGGAACCTATGTCTCATTATTTGTAGTATCTGTAGAATATCTTGATAAGAAGCTCTTTATAATTGATATCATTACTTCTTCAAAAGACTATTATTAGTATTGTGAATACATCATACTTACACTTATTGTAGATTTTTGCTTATTGTATCTTGTACAAGCTGTGAAATATAAGCTTGGCATTGGTCTACTTTGGTAATAGAGGACCTGTTGTCTTGTTGGCATTGAATTTTTGCCATTACTATGTTGGAAGCCGCCTTGAGCCCCCCCCCCCCCCCCCCCCCCCCCCCCCCCCCCGGGGGGAGAAAGGCGGTATAGAAATACAGTAAATAAATAATACATAATAAATTGTGGTGGGGAGGGGGGGTATTCAAAACTCCTTTTTCTTTTCCCTGCTTCCTTCTCTCCATTCAAAGCTCATTTGGGCTCTGAAAATCTTCCTCATCCCTGATCCACAGCACCTTCTCCTACCCAAGCAAGCATTGAGTGTTCTTGGCCCTGCTGGATCAGCAGTTCCATCCTCTTAACCATTTTGATCCACATGATGTTTACTGAGACTTGTCCCCTTAGGATGCGTCGACGAGATCCTGGCAGTGCTCCCAACCTGGGGGACCGAGTTCCTTACGTCATCATCGGTGCCGCCAAAGGTGTTGCAGCTTACATGAAATCAGAAGTGAGTGTAGAAAGAAAGCAGCAGGGGAATGCTGATTTGGAGGGCCAGTGGGGAATGCAGATTTGGAGGGCCAAACTGTCAATGGCCACTAATTATGCTGGCTATTCATTCCCATCAGTATCGGAAATGTTTCCGCTCTATAGCAATGACTAGGAAATATGAGAAGGAAGATGCTGTTGTGCTCATGCTTTATTAATGGGCTCTTTCCAGGATTAAAGGTATAACAGGACTGGTAAGGGATTGATGTGGCCGGTAGGTACCTGCAGGTGCACAAGTGTTTTTGTAAAAATGTATTTCCATTTAAAACACAATCTTTAATTCCAGTAATATATGTTATTATTAATCCTTAGGCCAGCAAAAAGCTACTTGGAAGAAAGTGGAGAGGCAGCATTGTGCATTGTCCTGTGTAGTTTAGGAAACAATATACATAAAGTGTTCCTCGTGCATCTCTCTGTAGGTTTGTTTAATACCTAAATTGGGCCATGTTTGGGGTTCAATTTGATATGGATGCGCTTGTGAGACACTTGCTCTCATCTATTGCTATGTCTTTCTTTAATCAGTAGATGGAGGAAGGAAGAGTCTAAGTTTAGGCATAGAACCCACATGGGAAGAGCAAGTCTCCAAACTCTCCCTATTCTTTCTTAGTGTCCAGATCAAAACCCTTCTAGTGTTTCATAACTGATCCCTAGGCTTATTGCTTCTAATCAGAGCTGTTAATGTTCAAAGTTTTGGAAAGTTAGTTTTGAGACAAACATGCTGGCTGGGGAGTTCTGTGAGGGTGTTGCCCGCAAAGGTAACTTTCCCAATCTCTGTGCGTACGTGCACACATCCCCTTCAGACTTTCAGAATAAAAGCTATGAGGTAACAACTCCTGAGAAGGAGACAAAAATTGTGTGGTAATATGTAGTCATCATGCAGCTAGTGTGACCCTAAGCAATGCTTACTTCCTGTTTATGTCTCCCTCTTTTGTATTTTCCAGGATCCCATCTATGTGCTGGAGAATAACCTGCCCATTGACACCCAGTATTACCTGGAGCAGCAGCTTGCCAAGCCTCTCCTGCGCATCTTTGAACCCATCTTGGGGGAGGGCAAGGCACAGAATATCTTGCTGAGTGAGTGGGTTTCTGGCTGTCTAGAGAGAGCAAAGTTGGAACAGGCATGGCATGGGAGTTCTGTGCGGGAAGTTTGTCCCAATTCTATCATTGGTGGGGTTTGGGATGCTCTTTGATTATAGACAAACTATAAATCCCAGCAGCTACAACTCCCAAATGTCAAGATCTTATTTTCCCCAAACTCCACCAGTGTTCACATTTGGGCATATTGAGTATTCAAGTTTGGTCAAGGCCCGTCATTGTTTGAGCCCACAGTGCTCTCTGGATGTAGGCAAACTACAACTCCAAAACTCAAGATTAATGCCCACCAAACCCTGCTAGTATTTTCTGATGGTCATGAAAATTCTGTATGCCAGGTTTGGTTCAATTCCATTGCTGGTGGAGTTTAGAATGCTCTTTGATTGTAGGTGAACGATAAATCCCAGCAACTACAACCCCCAAATGACAAAATCAATCCCCCTCCCCCACCTCATCCCGCCAGTATTCACATTTTGATGTATCAGGTTTTTGTGCCAAATTTTATCCAGTGAATGAAAATATATCCTGCATATCAGATATTTACATTACGATTCATAACTAGCAAAATTACAGTTGTGAAGTAGCAACGAAAACAATTTTATGGTTGGGGATCACCACAACTGTCTTAAGGGGTCGTGGTATTTGTAGGCACAAATAGCTTATCCTGTGGGGGATGCTTGTAAGGAAATTTGGCTACTAATAACACATCCCAACCCAAATAATTTTTTTTCTTTGTGTCTTGGTTTTTAGACCTGTAACTGGGGTTATTTGGGGCTCTGATTCAGAAGATTGCATTGGATAGACCACATCAGCTGTAGTTTCTTAGATATGTTTATCATGGTTTTCTATGGATGAGAAGATGGCGATGCGTAGATGGCATATGCTTTGTATCTAAAAAACTAGAGGGGATAGGGGGAAACTGGTGCCATTTTCGGAATCCGTAGGTCAGGTATATCCGCAGACAAGTCTAACATCTGAGGCACCAAAATGTGTGTTGACCAGTGATTATTTTTCACCACAGTAGAAATGTGTAGTCAGAAGAGGAACCCATGCACTGATCCCAGCCCCCTTCCTAATGCTTGTATAGAATCTAGGGTGGGCTCAATTCTTTCTTTTCTTCCTTTGCAGAAGGGGAACATACCCGCTGCAAAACGGTGTTGACAGCCAAGGTTGGAGGGCTCATGGCTTTTGCTACCAAACGAAGCACCTGCATCGGTTGCCGGGCTGTGCTCAACCACCATGGTGAGAGTCTACCTCTGTGCTCTACCAAAATAAGTTCCTTCCCATCCCCCATTACGTGCCTCTAACCAGCAGTAAATTTTGCAAGTTCTTATTGCCGGAACTTGCCACAGAGTGTTGTGTGTGTGTTACAGCTCTGTCTCTGTACTTTTATGACTAGCAGGGAAACCTTGCATTTGATTAGAGCTTTCTAGACCTCTTTGGTTCTCCCTCTTTTTCCAAATTTTGTGGGTGGGAGAAGAGGGGAGATTGCCTATAAATTGTGAAAGATGGCTTAAAGATGAACATTTTTAGTTTCTCATGAGAGGTAGTATCAACATCAACAGCCTAGAAAAAGGAAGCTCTCAACTTATGATCCTGAGCTTTCTGAATGTGGGAGTATAAAAGTGATATTTATTATCAGGGAATGTGGGGCAGAGGTTGCATTTGCATATATGCCTCCTTCTGCTTCTCTACAAACCGATTAACCATGCGGTGAACGGAAGAGAGGACAAATAGCCCCTTAATCTGATCAGATACAGCTACAGTACAACTCCGTAACTACAATATGGATACCTGAAACCACAGATAATAGCAAAGCTATATTTTGACTATTTTTGGGCCAGAAGCAAAACATAATTTCCCTACGTGTCTGTGCTGTGAATGCGCACTAATGGTACTTCTGCGCATGCGCAGCCTCGCTCCGGAATCTTCAGTTAATTTTTTAAAAAGAAAAGCGGTTGGCCCCGCGCACACTCCCCAGGATAGCATAAATAGCCCGCGGCTGGCCAACCGCCTCCAGATCTCTTCATCCGCGCTAAAGTCAGCAAGCTCGGATCTTCTCTCATCTCAGATCAATTCTTTTATTATTTTATTATTATTTATCTCTGCTAAATGGCACAGATGTCTAATACAAAAAGTTTCAAACGTTGCTCTGCCTGCCAGGGCAACTTTCCAGATAATGATGCACATTCCTTGTGCATCGCATGCCTCGGGGAAGGACATTTAACACAAGCTTGTGCGATCTGCCAATCCTTCACTCCAAAAACGAGAAAAAACAGGGAGATCCGTTTAAAGGCTGCCTTGTATGAACGGGCGCTTCTCCCTGACCTATATCAAAATACTAGCCAAAAAGAGCAAGCCTTACCTGTAATGGCGGCCCAATCGGGTGCTATAAGGAAGACCAAGAAATCCAAGGCTACTCATAGCAAAACGGCCGCTGCTAAGTTCCCGAAGGCCGTAGAAACCGAGGCCACAGCTTCTAAGACAGCCTCTCCCTTTGAGAAGGGAAACGAGACTCCTCCATGTGGCTCCAAAGCTAGAATGGAGCCAGCATCGACCTCCGCTCGCCCCGTGCGAGCAAGGGAGGAAACTGAAACCGAAAGAGAGCCGAGGCCGGCTGGAGCACGCCCCGCGCGTGCGCAGGAGGAGACCTTGACGCCTCCTATGCCTACGCTCTCGGCGCCGGCTCCTCCTACATCTCAAGAGGCAGGCTCTGGGGAGGAGCCAGGACGGGCGCCCATGGCAACGCTTCCCTCGGCGTCGGGAATGCCTGTGGCCGCCTCGACATCAGGGATGCCAGTCGCTGGGACCCTGTCTCGGCGCCGTGCGCGCGCTCCCTCGCGCACTCATAAACGGAAAAGGGGACACAGGGACTCCAGCTCCAGCGACTCCTCCTCCTCCTCTACTTCCTCAACTTCATGTTCTGACTCCTCATGCTCTGCAAGGGTGCGCAGGCGTGCACGCGCCCGCAGGGCCAGGTCTGCTTCATCCACACATTCCTCCCGATGGGGGGAAAGAGGTGAAAGAGATCTTCCTCTCCCTCATCCAGGGGTCTATGAAATTACCCCCCAAGGAAGATTTATTTACTGTGGCCCTCCACCTATGCCACCAAACCAGAAGGTTACTCACCATCCTAGACATAAAAATAAAGATTGTAGACTATTGCAACATCAAGAGACTTTCCCTATGCATGTTAGACATGAGCATCGGGGAAGTTACTATTCTCAAGGGAATACTCCGTTGCCATCTATTGCTGAGGATCAACATTCTCTTGACAATGTGGACTCTGATTCTTCGGTGGAAGTGATGGACTCTTCGAATGTGGGGAAGGACAAGGATTCAAATGTAAACCGTGCTGAGGACTACAATAAGTTTGCACAGATGATTGGAAGAATGATAACTGCACTGGGCATTGTTACTCCTAAACCAGTTTCCACAGTGGACGATCCCATGTTTCCATCTGAAGAGCAGGATAATTCCCCATCCATGCTACTTCCAACTCTGCCTTACCTGTTAAAGCTAACTAAGGTCCCCGACATGTCTCCGTCGGCTGCCCCTGCTATTCCAAAGAGGGTAGATCTCCTTTACAAAGTGGATCTCTCAGTGGCACGCTGGATTGCCCACCCCACTCCACCTAATACGGTGGTGGCGGAGGCAGCTAGGTCAAAAAGGCCTAAGAAGTATTCTATTACACCCCCGGATAAGGAGGGCAAAAAGATTGATTCCCTTGGGAAGAAAGTCCATGTAGCTGCGGGGTTGTTCGCTAGAATGGCTCATTATGCGACCTTTATGAGCGGATACCAGAGTTTTCTCTGGAACAGAATGCTACCTTTTATTGATCTCCTGCCGGTTGAAGACCGTCGTCTTCCTAAGGCGTACCAGGCAGAAGCCCTTATTCTTTCTAGATTCCAGAAAGACTTTGCCAAACATATGGCTGAGGCATCTGGTAAACTTCTCGCCTCAGCCACGGCTATAAGGCGCCATGCGTGGCTTCGTGCCTCCACTTTATCGGAAGAGAGCCGCTTGTTGGCGGAAGACCTCCCTATGAATGAGGGGGGTCTTTTTGATCCAACAACAGACGAAAAGATTAAACATTCACGGGAGGTCCTACAAGCAGCTAAATACCCGTACCCGTACCCATACCCATGGCAGCCAGGTAACCAACAGAAGCCTCGTTGGCAGCAGACGTCACCATTTTACCGTAGGACAAATTTCAATGGGTACAATTCTAATCAGACAAATAGGAATATTTCTTCAAAATTCCAGTTTAATCGTAAACAGAATTATGGTTCGAAGTCTAGGTATCAACCATACCAATCTAAGGCCAAGAATACAGGGAATTCAAGACGTCGTCTTTGACGACTCCTCTGTTGGTGTTAGCCAGCAACCCAGGGTTATTCCATCTGATCCTTCCTTACCTATTGGCCACATTTGGTATAAAGATAGGCTTAGACCATTTACGCACGCATGGGCTGCGATTACCACCGATAGGTGGGTCCTCCAAATTGTTGAGGAAGGTTACTCAATAGAGTTTGTTTCATTGCCCCCGTTGGGCCATTTGGAAGCAAGTCCTGAATCTCCAGCGTTGCTGGAAGAGGTTGAAACACTTTTGGCTAAAGGGGCTATTTCTCATGTAGACCGTTCTATGTTTGGTGAATGTTTCTTTTCTCGTTATTTTTTAGTAACTAAAAAAGGTGGTGGTTTGCGTCCAATTCTAGATTTAAGGGGAGTGAACATGTACATTGACTCCAGGAAGTTTCGTATGGTATCTCTCTCTATGATCCTCCCTCTTCTAAATAAAGATGTTTGGTTCGCTACAATTGACTTGAAGGACGCATATTTTCATATTTCTATGGCTGAACATCATAGAAAATATCTCGCCTTCATGGTTGGAGACCGGGCTTTCAGTTTTAACGTCCTGCCTTTTGGCCTTACCACAGCTCCTAGGGTCTTCACAAAGTGTATGGCGGTGATCGCTGCTCACCTCAGGACTAGGGGCATTACGGTTTATCCGTATATAGATGATTGGCTGTTGGTAGCGAGATCATGTGAGCGCCTGCATGTACACGTTAATATAACACTCTCTCTTCTCCAGTCCCTAGGCCTCGTGGTAAACACAGCAAAGTCCCATCTGTTACCTACCCGCAGGATTCAGTTTATTGGAGCGATCTTGGATTCAGCTCAACAGAAGGCGTTCCTACCAGAGGACCGGTTTACGTCACTCAAGTCCCTGATTGCGCGAATTCTCTGTTTAGAAAGGGTGTCAGCGAAGAAAGTTCAAGTGTTACTAGGGCATATGGCGTCTACGACTGCAGTCACGCCGTATGCCCGGTTGAGGTTCAGACCCATTCAGAATTGGTTTCTGTCGGTATTCCGCCCTGGCCTGGACAACCCCCATGCACGGCTGCACATGCCAGAAGAAGTGCGGCGTTCTCTATTGTGGTGGACAGATCCAAACAATGTATCTGCGGGTCTACCTTTCCAGCTTCCCGACCCAGCAAGTGTTGTCACYACAGATTCCTCTTTGAAGGGATGGGGCGCCCATTACGAAGGCCTTACTGCCCAGGGTGTGTGGGCTCCAGAGGAGTCAACAGCCCATATAAACATACTAGAATTGCTTGCAGTAGAAAAGGCGTTAAAATCTTTCGAGATGGCTTTGTTAGGCAAGGTAGTGCAGGTGGTTACGGACAATACAACAACAATGTTTTACATAAACAAACAAGGAGGGACAAGGTCTCAGACTCTGTCGAGGTTGACTATGAACATCTGGGAATGGTGTATAGCAAGACAGATTTATCTGTTGGCCGTTCACCTCCCAGGGGAGGAGAACACTCTGGCAGACGAGTTAAGCAGGGCCCCCATGTCACACCACGAATGGTCTATCGATCAAAAGGAACTCAGTACGATCTTCAGGATCTGGGGAGTCCCGAGAATAGATTTGTTCGCGTCTCGGGAGAACGCGAAGTGTCCCCTATACTGTGCACGAAGGAGAGCAGCTCAGGAACAGGGYTGCCTGGGGGATGCGTTCCTTCTCAAATGGAACGGAGAATACCTCTACGCGTTTCCTCCTTTTCCACTATTGACAAAGGTCATTMCGAAACTGCGGAGGGACGGGGGAAACTGCATTCTAGTGTCACCATGGTGGCCTCGCCAACCATGGTTCTCACTTCTTCTCGAGATGTCCAGAGGGAAGTACAGACGTCTGCCGAACAGGACAGACCTACTGACATCACAGGGCGGACGGGTTCTTTACCCYGACGTCCACATGTTGAGGCTCACTGCTTGGAGGATCACCCCAGACAGTTAGAACCGTCTTTGAATGTTTCTAGTAAGGTTAGAGTTATACTAGATGCAGCGCAAAAGCCATCGACTAAGCGCTCCTATGTATATAAGTGGGCACGTTACTCCAAGTTTATGAAGGAACAGGGCCATGATCCCGTAAGAGCGCCAATCGCTGCAGTGTTGGATTTCTTAGCTTCYTTATCAGATTCAGGTTTATCAGTCTCATCCCTTAAGTGTTACCTGGCGGCCATCTCTTGGTACAGGAGGAAAGAGGGTATGRCCTCCCTCTTTGCAGATTATTTAGTTAAYCTTTTTCTTAAAGGGTGCGGGAACATTAGGCCAACAGTAGTCCCGATTATCCCCTCGTGGAGCCTGGAGGTTGTTCTTTCATCTCTTCAAAGTGCGCCATATGAGCCTATGGCAACATGCAATATGTCACATCTTTCTTGGAAAACTTCTTTCCTAGTYGCGATAACGTCAGCCCGTCGCGTTAGTGAACTTTGCGCACTTAGATCAGATGAACCATACCTCCGATTCCACAAGGATAAAYTTGTGCTCRGCACGGACATTTCCTTTCTTCCCAAGGTGACATCTTTCATATGTCACAAGAGATTATTTTGCCATCCTTTTTCCAGAACCCTGTCTCCCCTTTGGAGCGTAGTCTTCATTTGTTAGATGTCCGCAGGGCGGTGGCGTTCTACCTTAGTAGAACGAAAGACGTCAGGAAAACACCAAAGCTATTTGTTAAGTATAGGAAGGACTCTTGCGGCCTCCCTGTATCATCGCAACGCCTGTCATCATGGATAGTCTCCGTGATCAAGTTGGCATATCAAAGATCTGGACGTGAGCTCCCTACAGGTGTGAGAGGCCATTCAACGAGAGCGGTGTCTACTACGACAGCGTTTTGGAAGGGTGTGCCCTTGGATGCCATTTGTCGAGCCGCTACCTGGTCAACGCCGTTGACGTTCGTGTCTCACTATAAGCTGGATCTCCAGGCCAAGAAGGACGCGGAGTTTGGTCGTGCAGTCCTTTTTTCTGCGGTGGCATGACTCCCGCCGTCCAAGGTGGGTAGCTCGCTAGTCTTTTACCATTAGTGCGCATTCACAGCACAGACACGTAGGGAAAATGAGAGGTTGCTTACCTGTAACCGTAGTTTCCCTAGTGTTGTGCTGTGAATTCGCACGGCCCCGCCCATCCTCCCCGCAGTTGTCATGCCTCCTCCTTCTGGCTGCTTTAGCGGCGGAAGAGATCTGGAGGCGGTTGGCCAGCCGCGGGCTATTTATGCTATCCTGGGGAGTGTGCGCGGGGCCAACCGCTTTTCTTTTTTAAAAATTAACTGAAGATTCCGGATGAGGCTGCGCATGCGCAGAGAGAGTACCATTAGTGCGAATTCACAGCACAACACTAGGGAAACTACGGTTACAGGTAAGCAACCTCTCATGTCACACTGAAGGACTAAAGAGCCCCCTAATATTTTTGTGGGGGATTTTTTTTTGTAGCTTAAGTGAAACTAGATATTAAGTCTGCAGATAAAAAGGTGATAGTTGCTAGGAGTTTTCCGGGCTGTATGACCATGTTCCAGAAGCATTCTCTCCTGACGTTTTGCCCACATCTATGGCAGGCATCCTCAGAGGGTGTGAGGTCTTGGAAACTAAGCAAGGGAGGTTTATATATCTGAGGAATGTTCAGGGTGGGAGAAAAAACTCTTGTCTTTTGGAGCAAGTGTGAATGTTGCAATTAATCATCTTGATTAGCATTGCAAAGCCTTGCATCTTCAAGGCCTGGCTGCTTCCTGGCCGGGGGAATCCTTTGTTGGGTGGTGTTATCTGGCCTTGGTTGTTTCATGTCTGAAATTACCCTGTTTTCAGGATGATGTTCTTTATTAGTTGTGGTTTTTCTTGAGAAGACATAGGTGGGAAATATCCTGATGAAAACACCAAGTGAGTGGGAATTCCATCTCATTTCCTGCTTTTCCACCAGGTGCTGTGTGCAAGTTCTGTCTGAGCCGCCAGTCTGAGCTCTATCAGAAGGAGGTAAGTAGATTTGTGGCAATATTAGTGGGATCATGTGAAGCTAGCTCCATCCAGGAAGACACATTGGGTTAATCAGCTTTGGAGATTTTAATTTGACAAATTCCTGATGACAAAAAGAGGGAGGAGAAAAAGCAGTTGGCAAATCGAACTTAAAAAATACTGTTTGCTATCCTAGAAGAGAAGCCAAGGGATTGAACAGAGTTGTCCATGGCTCCAGTCTTACTTTGAAAGTATTTTACTAGGCAACTTTAGAACAGAGGTGTGGACAATACAGCTTATGTTGCTCCTTAAGATTATCTTTTGGAGAACTGGATTGCAGAAAAGATCTTTCTAACATATAAAGTGACCCGAAAATTAAATTTGAAATTACTTCCTGTTGTAAAAAAGGCTTTTCCTTGACCTAAAATGATGAAATTGCTTCCCATTCCCCATTTGGTGGCAAAAAAAAAATCTTTTGTGGAGGGTGCATGGTTTTGAAGTCTAATGGGGAGGACACTGTTCTTCCCTAAACTCTCACAGTTCCCTGACTTTAAATATGCCTTCCGATCCCTTTCTGTAGTCTTTCTCCTATACATAAGAAGTGCCGCAGGGTTCCATCCTGGGCCCAGTTCAGCTCAAGATCTTGATTAATGACTTAGATGGAGGGTTAGAAGGCATGATCATCAAGTTTGCAGACGACACCAAATTGGGAGGCATAGCCAATACTCCAGAAGACAGGAACAGAATTCAAAACGATCTTCACAGATTAGAGAGATGATTGGCCAAAACTAACAAAATGAAGTTCAACAGGGACAAATGCAAGATACTCCACTTAGGCAGAAAAAAATTAAATGCAAAGATACAGAATGAGGGACAATGCCTGGCTCGACAGCAGTACATGTGAAAAAGATCTTGGAGTTGAACAATGTCATGCCGCAGCTAAAAAGGCCAATGGGATTTTGGCCTGATAAATAGAAGTATGGTGCCTAGATCCAGGGAAGTCAGGCTACCCTTCTATTCTGCCTTGGCCAGACCACACCTGGAATACTGTTTCCAATTCTGGGTGCCACAATGTAAGGAAGTTGTTAACAAGCTGGAATGTGTCCAGAGGAGGATGACTAAAATGATAAAGGGTCTGGAGAACAAGCCCTATGAGGAGCTGCTTAAAGAGCCTTCCCCTGACATTAATAGAAGGCTGAGAGGAGACATATGTAAGGAGAAGTCTTAGGGAGGAGGGCGCAAGCTTCTTTTCTGCTTCCCTGGAGACTAGGACACGGAACGATGGCTTCAAACTCCAGGAAAGGAGATTCCACCTGAACATTAGGACACTGCCCAGTGGCACAGTGGGTTAAACCACTGAGCTGCTGAACTTGCTTACTGAAAGGTTGCATGTTCGAATCTGAGGAAGGAGTGTGAGCTCCCACTGTCAGCCCCAGCTTCTGCCAACCTTGCAGTTCTAAAACATGCAAATGTGAGTAGATCAATAGGTACCGCTCCAGTGGGAAGGTAACGGCACTTCATGCAGTCATGCCATCCATATGACCTTGGAGGTGTCTAGGGACAGCGCCAGCTCTTTGGCTTAGGAATGGAGATGAGCACCAATCCCCAAAGTCGGAGACAACTGGACTTAATGTCAAGGGAAAACCTTCACCTTTACCTTTACTCCTAACTGTGAGAGCTGTTCATCAGTGGAACTCTCTGCCCTGGAGTGTGGTGGAGACTCCTTCTTTGGAGGCTTTTAAACAGAGGCTGGATGGCCATCTGTTGGGGGTGCTTTGAATTAGATTTTCCCGTTTCCTGGCAGGGCGGTTGGACTGGATTGCCCACGAGGTCTCTTCCAACTCTCTGGTTCTATAAAGGTTCAAGATAAAAGTCTGATGCAGTTCAAACATTCTGAAAGATTTTTTATTATTTCAATGAAGGCCCTTCCAGACAGGCCCTATATCCCAGGAGATGATCCCAGATTTTCTGCTTTAATCTGGATTATATGAATCCACATTGCCAGATAATCTGTGATAAACAGAAAACCTGGGATCATATCCTGGGATATAGGGCCTGTCTGGAAGGGCCAACAAGTATATATGGTTTCCCTCCTCCTGATTTGTGAGGTAGGACGGGCTGCGTAACAGGAGCTGACCCCAGGTCATTTAGTGAGTGTTGTGATTGAGGGGAGATCCGAACCCGGATTGATAACAATGCAGTGGATGACCATTACGTTTTGAAGGTTAAAGTGCAATATAAAGGCTGAGTCACATTTCAGTTAGTCTGCCTGCTCTTTCCCCCTTTCCTTCCCACTTCATAGGTGACCTATCTAAGCTCCCTGGAGGAGAAGTTTTCACGCTTGTGGACCCAGTGCCAGCGCTGCCAAGGGAGCTTGCACGAGGATGTGCTGTGTACCAGGTGAGGGCTCACTGCCCACCACGCCCACTCATGGCAGCCCCAGTTTTGACCCGTTCCCACGAGATATTGGGCTGAAATATGGCTTTATGTCACCCCCAGGTGTTGACAGCTGCTTATCAGAGATGAACAGATGGCTCCCACGGAGAGGGAGTGGGGTGGGGGTACTCTTCAAGCGCTTTATTGCCTTTATAAATACAGCAGCTGTCAGAAGATGGGGAGTGGAGAGGGAGACTGCGCCGGTACATAAGTTATCAGCTGGGTTGCCTGGATTCTCCAGCAGAGGAATGGGGCATGTTTGTGGGTAAAGTACAAAATTGCACTGAGGCAGTCAAGTCCTTTGTTTACATGGGTGGGAAAAATAAATTGTAGAATCCTGATGTGATAAAATGGATGTTTAGCCACTTTTGAATTCTTTCCTATATTAAACACTCTTTGTCAATACACTTATCAAGATATCAAAGGAAAAGATGTGAGAGTCACTTTCTCTACTTTCTCTCATTGATACTAACCTCCTTGAAGGAATCGTTCTGACATCAAAATCCCCCTGCCCCAAGTCTGAAATAGTGATGCAGATATGATGTTGCTTTCTGAATTGCAGCCTCTGAAATCCCATCTTGGTTGGCAGATATAGTGTAGAACATGTAGCGTTTGCAGACGCTTCTCCTTTACTCTCTGGCATAAGTGTCCCAAGGGAGCCCCTGGTAGCACAGCAGGTGAAACCGCTGAGCTGCTGAAATTGCTGACCAAAAGGTTGGCAGTTCAAATCTGAGGAGCAGGTGAGCTCCTGCTGTTAGCCCCAGCTTCTGCCAACCTAGCAGTTCAAAAACATGCAAATGTGAGTAGATCAATAGGTACTGCTTTGGCAGAAGGTAACAGCGCTCCATGCAGGCATGCTGGCTACATGACCTTGGAGGTGTGTATGGACAACGCTGGCTCTTCAGCTTAAAAATGGAGATGAGCACCAACCCACAGAGTCGGACATGACTGGACTTAATGTCAGGGGAAAACTTTTACCTTTACTATTATTATTACATTTATTTTTACTCTATTTTATTATTACATTTTTATTTTACTCTATTATTGTTATTACATTTTACTCTATTATTATTATTATTGTTGTTGTTGTTATTACATGTATTATTTTACTCCCTTTATTATTATTGGAAGGATACATAAGTACATTTACACTGAAGAAGGTTAGAATAATGGTTTAATCAGGCTCTTCGGCTTAGAAATTGAGATGAGCACCACCCCCCAGAGCCAGCCACGACTAGACTTAATGTCAAGGGGAAACTTTTACCTTTTATAAGTGTTCCAGGGGAGAAACAAATTAGTTAAGTGAGACAACACTATTCTATAGGAAAGCTCTAGTCTCTTCATGGCAGCCTACACCATCAATAGCTCTTTCATTCCCTTTTAGAGTGATAGCCATTTTGTTCTCACATTCCCCTTCCTTCCTTGGAAGTTTGTAAACAAGAGGCTGGATGGCCATCTGTCAGGGATACTTTAATTGTGCTTTTCCTGCAAGGCAGGAGGTTGGACTAGATGGCTCATGTGGTCTCATCCAACTCTATGATTCTATGACTCCATTTTCCTCCTATCTTTCAGCCGTGACTGCCCCATCTTCTACATGCGGAAGAAAGTACAGAAGGACCTTGATGACCAAGAAGTCCTGATCGCACGCTTTGGCCCCCCCACATGGTGATGCTTCCTTGACCTTTTTTGCCATTCTTCATCAGAGTGAAACCCATTGCCACTGGCGCACTTTTGAAGGGGGCAACAATCAAGGCACTACAAGCATAGAAGTGACAGGGAACATTGTTCCCATGCAGTTTTGGAAATGTCTTCTGTTGCTGTGATGGGAGAGGGGCAGCAAAATGACTGTATATTGTAGAGAAAATGTGACGCTTGACCCACAAAAGCTCTTTTGTAGTGGGCTGTGTTTTTGTAATGTGAAATTTTACAAATAAAGACTTATTATTTTGTTTCTTATATATCAGTGGCTTGCGTGGAATCACATGGGCTTCTGAAGAGGAATTGTAGGGTAGCAAAAGCAGGAGTTTTATTTCCTCTCAGGGACCAAAAGGTTGGAGAGATACACTGTGCATTTGGTCATCTCTTCAACAGCTGAAGCAAGTGATTTAGGAACATTTCCATGTACATAACCTGCCAGCACTGACTTTCATGGCCAGGTATTTTAAGACCTGAGTTTTATAATTTATTTATTCCCAGGAAATGTTGTGGAATCGGTACCCATTCAACAACTGGGAATATATGCTTAAGATGCTAGCAGATCTAACACTGAGAGAGAGAAGTGGGGGATATATGAATTGCCACTGGATTCAAGATATTTAGATTACACTATTTAACAAAATTTGAAAAAGTTTCTGTTTCTGGTTTGAAAGTGTTATTTCCTGTTTAATTATGTGGTACTTCCTTTGAAAGTAATTGTTATACTTCAGAAACTTTTGTTTATGTTGAATTGGTTTAGATTCGAGATATTCATTGAATAACTGTAGCAAAATGTGCTGCAGGATGTCCCACAAAAACAAAGTTTTTGCAGTTTAATAAACTTTTTCCATGTTTTTTTCTGATTGAACCAATTAGAAAATGACATTCATAACACAGGAACAAAAAATATGTTATATAGTGTTATCAGAGAAGTATGTAATTATACAGTAGACGAACAAGGGGGTCAGGATGAGGGAAGGTTCAGCATCAGTATTTTTGCAGGAGTGGGGTGGGGTTTGTGCTTTTCTTACTCGTGACATTTGTTTGTCTTCTCATGTCATCTGTTTATGGGTTAAGATATGAATCTGAGATTAATCATGCCCTGAAATGCAATTGTGCCAGCTATTTTGTGAAATCTAAAATTTGATTTTCTTTTGCGTAAGTTTTGTATTGTGCTGGTCTTTAAAAAAAAATCTAGAGAAAAAGATGACAGTTGAAATGTATGGTGTTTTTAATCCAGTTCATGTTTAGTCTAAAGGCCATGTGGGCTAGGGTTGTAGTCCACCACATTTGGAGGACACCGTTGAGAATGGTTGTTATTGATACTGATTGCACTTCATAGTGCTTAGTAGTTATCCCTCTGACGCCATTGCAGCAGTCTGAACATGTTCTGTACATCTCAGCTCTATTGCATGGAATAAGATAAGGAAAATCATAAATTATTCCTACTTATGTATTTAATGCCTGCTGCCTGTTTGAACTTCATCACCAGTCAATTGGACTTCTCAAGTGGCGTGACCAAAACAACGTGAATACAAATTGTTTGTTAACTTAAACTCTGTTATAAATGAGCTTGCTGATGTACTGGATGGGTGCAAGTTCAAATCTCAGCAAAGCTAATAATGGTGTTGCTTTGGAGTATGTGCATCTGATGAAGTGAGACATAGTGAACAATAGTTTTTATTATAATCATTGTCCTCTTCTTTTAAGGGGCTAGAAGATTTGCATTGTTCCAGTACAATACAGTAGTTACTACTCTGGGATGTATGTTCACACTTGCAAAAAAAGTGAACACTACATCTCCCCACCTTTTGCAAAAACAAAAAGCCTCACTGTACAATCTATAACAAGAGTAATTATCGGATCTTGATAACACCCATTGCAATCTAAGCAGCGTCTGAAAATTAATATCCAAAAATAGTAGGACCAAACATTTATCTTCATATGTCAACAGAATTTCAAAGAGATGTAAACAACCTCATCCCTCTGGGAAAAGTGTTCCACCAAACAAGAGCTGACAATGCTGATGGAATTGAGTGTGAAGTCTGTAGACTGTCCATGTTTCGCAGGCACATATCAGGGATGGGAGGACAATAGCTTTATAAACAAGGACCTGGGTATACCTACGGATGTTCCAATCCTCAAACACTTTCTGCTTCATTCAGAAAAATGATGTGCTCGCAGAGCTCAGGCGGTGTTGTATTTCAGTGTCAATGTTGACTTTTGGGGAGAGGTGGCTTCCAAGGTAGCGGAAATGGTCAACATTTTCTAACATTACACCATTAAGCTGTATTTCTAGTTTTCTTGATGTTCAGTGACAGGCTGAGCTCGTGTGCTTCTGCAAAGGTGTTTAGAGTGGCTTGTAGGTCTTCTGAATGCACACAGATGACGTCATCAGCATATTGGAGTTCTATAACAGATGTTGTGACCTTGGTTTTGGCTTTCAGTCTGCTGAGGTTCAATAGCTTCTCATCTGTCTGACAGATGATTTCCACTCCGGTGGGAAGCTTCTCATCAACAAGATGAAGTATCATAGCGATAAAGATGGAAAATAAGGTTGGGGCAATAACAAATCCTTATTTGACACCTGATTCCACCTTAAATGGGTCACTTTGGGCATCAATGTTGACTTTTGTGGAGAGGTGGCTGCCAAGGTATCGGAAATGGCCAACATTTTCTAACATTACACCATTAAGCTGTATTTCTGGCATTGCAGAGGGGTTGGCTGGTGACTGCTGGAAGAGCACTTTGGTTTTCCCCATGTTCAGTGAGAGGTCAAACTTCTTGTATTGTTTTGTTTCAGTAGAAATTATGAACACAGCTTAAGCCAAACTGTTAGACCTTTTCCAGCTAGAATAGACCCAATGACTCAGTGAGAATTTCACACTTTCATTAGTTTACTTTATGCATTTGGATTTAATCACAGTTTACTTGCATCAACAGTGTAGAATTAATGCAGCTTGACACCACTTTACCCGCCAGGATTGAATGCTATGAAATCATGGGAGTTGTGATTTTACAAGGTCTTTAGCCTTCTCTGCTATAGAGAGCTGGTGCCTCCACAAAGTTCAACTCCTAGGATTTCAAAGCATTGTGCCGTCTAATTTAAGGTGCTGCCAAACTGCCTTAGTTCTACAGTCTAGATGCACCCATAGTTACTAAGAGGAGGATGCAAAATTTCCACATACTGCTCCATATTTCACAAAAGCTTGTGTATGTGTGCAAACGTCAGATAGGTACTGGGTTTTCTGGTGGTGGGTTTTCTAAATTCTCACGGCTAAAACATAGCCACCTCCTGCCTTGCTCCTTTTGCAAGACTACTGGAAATAAGGCGCTCCTTTGTGATAACCATTGAGCAAGGAGTTGTGGAGAAAGAAGAAAGAGAGAAAAGAGTGAAGGCACCTCTGGGATCTCCTCCTCCTCCTCGTCCCCCACCCCCAGTGTTGAGTCAGGGCCCTCCCCCAGTCCGGATGAAGGAGTCAGGCCAACACAGATACCAGGGGGAAGGTGTCCAAAGGAGATAAACCTCCTCTGGATTCTTTTGCAAGTCCTTGATTGCCTTCCTCACGTGAGCTCTTCTCATCAGGCTGATGTAGATGTGGGGGAAGGAGGGAGGGAGTGTCAGGCTGTGCCCACCTCTGGATTGGAGAAGGCAGCAAATCTTGCAGGGATTTGCATCCTGCCAAACACAGTCTTTGAAAAACCAACAGCTTCTTCAAAGACGTAGAGTGCATCTGCGCTGTAAAAGTGATACGGTTTGACAGCACTTTGACCTCCATGGCTCAATGCTGCACAAACCTAGGTGTTGCAGTTCTCCAAGTTTCTGCAAGATCCCTTTGCACGATGATATTCACAGGTAAAGCTGCATCTACACTGTAGAATCTGTGGTTTGACACCATTTTACCTACCATGTCTCAATGCTATGGAATCCTGGGTTATGTCACTGATTTTTTTTAAAGTCAGGAGTGACTTGAAAAACTGCAAGTCGCTTCTGATGTGAGAGAATTTGCTGTCTGCAAGGACGTTGCCCAGGGGACGCCTGGGTGTTCTGATGTTTTACCATCCCTGTGGGAGGCTTCTCTCATGTCCCTGCATGGGGAGCTGGAGCTGACAGGCGGGGCTCATCCACGCTCTCCCCAGGTGCGAACCTCTGACCTATTGTTTCTTCAGTCCTGCAGGAGCTCCATGTCACTGATGAGATGCCATCACTCTTTGGCAGAGAAGGTTAAAGCCCTTGCGGTGCTACAACTCCCATAATTTAATTGCATTGAGCCATGAGTCGTGTCAAACTGCATTCATTCTACAGTATTGATGCAGACTGATCTGGGAATATCACTGTGCAATGGGATCTTGCAGGAACTTGGAGACTATCGAAGAGAATTAGGTTGGTAGCGTAAACTTTCATAGAGTGAGGGTCCATCCTTAAGTATGAAACCACGTCAACTGCCATGGAGCACCCTGTGGCGCAGCAGGTTAAACCACGGTGGACGGTGGTTCAGATCTGGGAAGGGGGGTGTTAAACCCATCTTCTGCCAACCTAGCAGTGCAAAAACATGCAAATGTGAGTAAATCAATAGCACTGCTCTGGCGGGAAGGTAAAGGTGCTCCATGCAGTCATGCTGGGCACATGACCTAGGAGGCGTCTATGGACAAACCCGACTCTTCGGCTTAGAAATGGAGAGATGAGCACCACCCCACAGTCAGACATGACTAGACTTAATGTCAAGGGGAAACCTTTACTTTTACCTTAACTGCTACGGATTCATTGAAGTTACAGTTTTACGAAATATTTAGGCTACTCAGCCATATAACTCCCATTTTTAAAAGTTCCTGAAGTCAACTCTGTGAAGGTATAATTTCCAATAAATAAATGTTATATGTCTGCCTATAAGCATCATGTACAGCTGTTCCTCAGCCCTGCCTATCTTCTTTTTCTTTCCCAGCATGCTTTGAAATGTGATTTTATTAGATTAGATAGGCAGCAATGTCCAACCAGGCTTAAATACCCTAAAGGTACCATCAAGATCAGACATCTTGTCTGATCTTGGAAGCTAAGCAGGTTTAGCCCTGGTTAGTACTTGGATAGGAGACTGCCAAGGGCTATCAGATGTTTGACCCTCTACTTTAAAGGAAGGAACTAGCAAAACCACCTTTGGGTGTTCCTTGCCTAAGAAAATCTTATGAAATGCATGGGGTTGCCGTAAGACGTCTATAGGCGACTTGAAAGCGCATACATGCACACTGAGATTATGCCTTTGTATTGGCCCAAAGCTGTTCTTGGCAGGCTTTGAAACTGCACAGAGTGCTTCTCTTGGTATGAAAGAGGTTCAATCCATTTGAAGATTTCCTACCCAATTTAAAAAATGACTTTTATTCTCGTGGAAAGGAAGGACTACCCTTGCAACTGGGGGAAAAACACTCAAAATCCTATTGCTTGAGGATTTTTCTGTGTTAGGGTGGTGTGTCTTAACGTTGTTATTCCTTTGTATGAATGTTGCCAGTAACATTACATGATAATAAAGCCGAGGAAACTGTGGCCCTTAATACTTTTGGACTACAGTTCCCACAATCCCCTTACTATTATTCATTATTCCTGGAGACTTTCAGGGCTGAGATATCTCAAAAGGCCAATGACTTGCTACTCCCACTTTATTCTGTGAAATATCCAAGATGTCTGGGTTGCTGTGAGTTTTCTGGGCTATATGGCCATGTTTCAGAAGCATTTTCTCCTGACATTTTGCCCACATCTATGGCAGGCATCCTCAGAGGTTGCGAGGACTGTTGGAAACTAGGAAAATTGGGTTAATATATCTGTAGAATGTCCAGGGTGGGAGAAAGAACTCTTGTCTGTTTGAGGCAAGTGTGAATGCTGCAGTGGATCACCTTGATTAGCAGTGAATAGCCTTGCAGCTTCAAGGCTTAGCTGCTTCTTGTCTGGGGGAATCCTTTGTTGCTAATCAAGGTGATCAATTGCAGTCTTCACACTTGCCTCAAACAGACAAGAGTTCTTTCTCCCACCCAGGACATTCCACAGATATATAAACCCCACTTCCCTAGTTTCCAACAGACCCCTCAACCTCTGAGGATGCCGGCCATAGATGTGGGCGAAAGGTCAGGAGAGAATGGCTATACAGCCTGGAAAACTCACAGCAACCCAGTTATTCTGGCTATAAAAGCCTTTGACAACCAAAATGTCCTTTTTTTCATTGTCAGGAGTGAGTTGAGAAACTGCAAGTTGCTTCTGGTGTGAGAAAATTGGCCATCTGCAAGGACATTGCCCAAGGGACGCCTGGATGTTTAACCATCCTATGGGAGGCTTCTCTCATGTCCCCGCATGAGAAGCTGGAGCTGACAGATGGGAGTTCACCCCTGGATTCATACTGCGGACCTTTCGGTCAGTAGTTCTGCCGGCACAAGGGTTTGACCCATTGGCCCACCAGGGGTTCCTACCAAGATGTCCTACTATTGCAGCAAACAACAACAACAGTAGTAGTAGTAGTAGTAATAATAATAATAATGTATTGTCGAAAGCTTTCATGTCTGAAATGACTGGGTTGTAGGTTTTTTCAGGCTATACGACCATGGTCTAGAGGCATTCTCTCCTGACGTTTCGCCTGCATCTATGGCAAGCATCCTCAGAGGTAGTGAGGACCTCACTACCTCTGAGGATGCTTGCCATAGATGCAGGCGAAACATCAGGAGAGAATGCCTCTAGACCATGGCCATATAGCCCGAAAAAACCTACAACAACCCAATAATAATAATAATAATAATAATAATAATAATAATAATAATAATAATAATGTTTATGTGTTACTTTCTTCTCTTCGTTTGAAAGGATTCTGTCATAATGCTAATGACATTTTCTGAGTTTAACAGTGGTCTACAACAGCATATGGCACAATAAAATTGTTAGTGGTGGACAACTTGTGGCCTTTAAGACTACAACACCAAGCACCCCTCACTATTGGCTGGGGATGCTGGGGCTTATAGTCCAACAACATTTGGAGGGCCGCACGACTCCTGCTAAGAAATCCCCTGCTAAATGGTCACAACATGAAGGCTCTTTGTGATGCTTCGACTCACAACTCATCACTTTTTTATTTGAAACATTGCTTTTCAATTTGTTTCTCATTGCCCTTGACTACTTGTGACACTTCCATGCAGTCCGGGAATATCAAAGCAGAAAATCCCACAGAACTGGGTTATCTGAGCCCACACTCATAATGTGGGATTTCCTGCCTTGATATTCTGGGATATAGAGCTGTGCAGAAGGGCCCTGGATTATCTTTAGCCTGAAATTTTAAGCGGATCTCAATTATGATCTCTTTTAGATCTTTCAGACTTAAACAGAAAGGAGGAAACCATGAAAATGAACAAAATCTAGCTACCAGCATTTTTAAAAAACTCCAAATAAAGAGGAACACTAAAAACAACAACAACAAGGGAATTCTTGACATGAAACAATCAGGGCTAGCTAACACACCTCCCAACAAAGGATTCACCCAGGCAGGAAGCAGCCAGGCTTTGAAGCTGCAAAGGCATTAAATACTAATCAAGGTGGCCAATTACACCATTCACACTTGCATCCAGCAGACAAGAGTTCTTTCTCCCACCTTGGACATTCCACAGATATATAAACCCCACTTGCCTAGTTTCCAACAGACCTCACAGCCTCTGAGGACACCTGGGTGAAAAGTCAGGAGAGAATGATTCTGAAACATGGCCATACAGCCCGGAAAACTCACAGCAACCCGGTGATTCTGGCCATGAAAGCCTTTTTGTTTTTTTGGCCAGCTACAATTGAATGTAAAATCCACTGTGGCACCTGTATTACTTTAGAACCAACAAAAGCACATCAAAAGATGAAAAGCTGTTAACTGCCCGATTGTTATTTGTGTATTTTTTAACCCATAAGCCATCAGGGTTATCTTTGTTGCTGATGTAATCCTATGCATATGTGTACAGAGGAGTAAATCCTGTTAAAGTAAATGGAGTTAGAAATAACCACTCAGGCTGTATCTTAAGTTGGAATCCTTAGTCACAAATCCTAGGCCGCTTCCACACAGCTGAATAAAATCCCACATTTTCTGCTTTGAACTGGACTATATGGCAGTGTGGACTCAGATAACTCAGTTCAAAGCAGATATTGTGGGATTTTCTGCCTTAATAATTTCAAATATAGGGCTTTGTGGTAGGGCTCTAGATGTGATTGCAGATACTTCAATTCCCAGCATTCTTGAGTTTTGAATATACTGACCAGGACTTCTGGGAGTTGCAGTCCAACATCTGGAGAAGTTGTTTGGTTCCAATTCCTACTAGATAGCAAGTGTCACAGAAAGCAATGGCTCTTCCTCTTAAGTAAACACTAGAATTCAGGTTTTGAAGTTGGATTCGGATCGACTAAACCACATTGATTGCATCAAGAACCCGGTGCAACGTCTTCCTTCTTTGGCCCTTGTTTGATGAAGAGATCTGGGGTATTTGAAAATTGGCACACTTTTGGGGCATTTTGACTAAACCTCATTTTTTAAAAAGCTATATTTTGAAATTTTAACCTTTTTTCTCTCTCCCATATATACTAGCATGGGCAACCTTTGTTTTTATCAGAACACAAAGTGTAAAGATCCTAAAGATATTTTTTTTAAATCTTCTAACATCAAAGCTTGAACTGTGTTTACATATAACTCTCTATCATTGTTGTATGTTTCCCATAATAATAATAATAATAATAATAATAATAATAATAATAATAATAATAATATATTTGTTTTCAAAGGCTTTCATAGCTGGAATCACTGGGCTGTTGTGAGTTTTCTGAACTGTATGGCCATGTTCCATAAGCATTCTCTCCTGACATTTCACCCACATCTATGGCAGGCATCCTCAAAGGTTGTGAGGTCTGTTGGAAACTAGGCAAGTGTGGCTTCTATATCTGTAGAAGGTCCAGGGTGGGAGAAAGAACTCTTGTCTGCTTGAGACAATTGTTAATGTTGCAAATGGCTACCTTGATTAGCACTGAATCTCCTTGCAGCTTCAAAGCCTGGCTGCTTCCTGCCTGGGGGAATCCTTGTTGGGAGGTGTTAGCTGGAATTATCCTGTTTTCAGGAAGTTGTTCTTTATTTACTTTCCTAATTTTAGAGTTTTTAAATACTGGTAGTCAGATTTTGTTCATTTTCATGGTTTCCTCCTTTCTGTTGAAATTGTCCACATGCTTGTGGATTTCAATGGCTTCTCTGTGAAGTCTGACAGTAAATAAAGAACAACACTCAGAAAACAGGATAATTCCAGACCTTAAACAATCAGGGCCGGCTAATAAGGCCATTCAATGCTAATCAAGCTGACCAATTGCAATATTCACACTTGCCTCAAGCACACAAGAGTTGTTATTGTTTGTCAGTACAGCTAACCCATAGCTCTGTGCTTCTTTTTCTTTCCCAATATTACAATGTGATTTTGTTAGATAGGCAGCAGTCCCCAGCCAGTTTGGGGACTTAAATACCCTAAAGGC